GATATTGGACGGCCATCTTTCTCATATCAGAAACTTAGACGTTATTTTGAAAGCGAGAGAAAATAACGTTACAATTGTATGTCTGTCCCCACACTATACTCACAAGTTGTAACCGCTTGATGTTGCTGTGATGTATCCTCTCAGTACTTACCATAACCAAGCTTTGGAAAAATGGATAAATAATAATTTGGACCGTGTAGTATCAGTTTTTCAAATAAGCGAAATTTTGGCGAAGCGTACCTGAAAGCTGCCGCCCCTCTCAATATCGTCAAAGGATTTAAAAAGTGCGATATAATGTCATTGAATCCTGATGTTTTTACTGATGTATATTTCATCAAATCAAAAAAAGGATGATGAATCTATTGAAATACTTCCTTCAATGAATGTAGTGCCTGGTACTATCTCAGCTCCTTCTGTTGAAGACGTAGAAAATAACTTGTCAATCGATTCTGTGATAAATGTAACCCTGCGATAAATAGTAATCCTTCACTTGCAGTAGCCGTAAGTAATGGTAATGGTAATGATCTTCTGAATTATCGTTCGAGAGGCCAAAATTAAAGTATACCGGACAACTGAAGAAAAACAGATTTTTTTTGTGCAAACTCAACAAATCAAAATATTCATGAAACAAATCTTAGTTTGATACGTACCGATTATTTTCACAGATAGTTAGTTCGATTCTTTATCTTATTTCCTTTTATCCAGTTCGCCATGAAAGTTACTATACCAAATTGAGGTAATGCCACGAGAAATATGGCTTTCATGATATTTAACCTTTCTCGGAAAAGCAGGAGAATCCCACACCTTTATGAACATATATGAAACTGCNTATAATGGACCCATATTCTAGTTTTGGCCTCACCAGACTGAAATACAGGGAGGTCAAGTTTAGCATATCATGAAAATTTTTGCAGTTCCTTATATGCGCGGTGAGCTGAATTTATAATATGATTATTATGGTAGTTGAAAGTTAAATAGTAAAAACAATAAGGGACCAACATTGGGTCCTTGCGGGTCTCCGCTGGTTGCTAAATACACATCTGAAAAAAAGCCGCGATAATATACGCATTGATTACGTCCGTTAAGGTATGATTCCAAAAGTTGACAATAAATTTCATTGAAACCCATGCAAGAAAGTTTACAAATTAGTAACTCATGACTGACCCTATCGAATACTTTAGAGAAGTCCGTGTACACCACACCTACTTGCCCTCTACGGTCTAACGATTCACATAAATATTGAACAAAAAGAGCTAAATTACTGATATTGGATGTAAAGTTCACAAAACCATGTTGGTGATCAGATATTGTATGTCGAGAGGATAGATAGATACTACCATACAGAATTGCTTCTAGAAGCTTGGCAAAGTTGTTTAGGATTAAAATAGGTCCATAATAATCATTGATTTAATTTCGATATTGAGCTTTATGTATTGGACAAACCTTGGCAGTTTTCCAAAGTTCAGGAAAAACTGACGTTCTCAAGAAAAGATTGAAAAGAATTTGTAGGGGATAAACTAGTACTCTCAGACAGTCTTTCAATAGAAATGATGAAATTTTGTCTGGACCTGAGGTCATCTTATTTTTTAATTTTCTTTCAGCTTCCAATATTTCTAACTATGTTATTGGTTTCACACTAAAATCAATTGAGCTATTAGGTTCGAAGTTGAAAACAACGTTTTCTTCATCAGCTTCAGGGTATAAATAGGCATTTCAAAAAAATCTACTGAAAGCATTACCAATTAATTGTGGGTTGTTATAGGATTCACCCTCATAAACCATCTGGCCTAGAATTGTTGTACTATTATTTTTATTATGAACAAATGTCCGGAAGTTTTTTGGATTAACTATCAATGCGTTTTCAATACTGTTTATATACGATGTATATACTTCTTTGACTTTCTGTTTAATATTTTTTCTAGTTCTACGGAATTCTTGGTAATAACACATATTTTTTGTTGCTTTGTAGTTTCTATGTGATTTAGCTTTTTCTTTAATAAGTTTTATTATGTCACTCGTATACCGAGCTGGATAAACATGTTTGAAGTTCTACGGAATTCTTGGTAAAAACACATATTTTTTGTTGCTTTGTACTCTCTATGTGATTTAGCTTTTTCTTTAATAAGTTTTATTATGTCACTCGTATACCGAGCTGGATAAACATGTTTGAAATATTTTGTGGGTGAAACATGAGCATTTAGAATCTCATAAAACTTATTGTAGAAACTATTTATTCCAGAGTTTACCTCAGATGAGTATTCTAAAAAGATCCAATCCGTGTTCAAAAATTCATTATATAGTGACACGTAATCACCTTTTCTGAAGTTGAATGATCTGTTATTCATATTTGTACTGAATTTATTAGGTTTTGTAGTAAGACCACGAAGTTCAATTGAAATGGATGGGTGGTGCAGGTGGGTGGTGAACTATATATATGGCTATACATGAGACTTTGAAGAATCCTGACTGCGAATTCATCATCAAAAATTTTCCATCACGTAAAGATTTTGAGTTATTTTTATTTTATACAGAAATTTTCACACATAGGGAAATATGAGATCAGAACAAAAAAAAACTATATATTTTGAGGATAACAGACTTCATTTACAAAACACATGAAGAAACATTCAATTTAAATCTATTATGCATAACTCTTTTGCAAATGTTAACTTTGGTTTAAATGTTTCATCGTTTTCCCTCATAAAGAACCAACAATAATCCCCCATCATTGCTGCATCTCATCTGCTTTGGTAACGTTGCTCCATTGTCAATATGTCTTCTGGGAAAAAATTCAAATGTGTGCAAGAAATGGATTTTGAGATCGTGTTTGAGATATTCAAACGCATCACCTTCTTTGTCTGATGCTTCTACAAAATATTTCATTGACCTCAGTTTATTGTGTAATGGAGGTAACAAAAACTTTTGGGATTACCAAGAGCTATATTCTTTAACTAAGCTTGACCTGAAATATATTTATCTCTTGGAGTACATTTTTTTACTTGGGGCAGTAGGGCCATGTGTTGCCCTACTGCCCCAAAGGCAAAGAAAACAGCAAAACTTCGTAAATCCGCCCTGAAGACCTAGTAATAGTCCTATGACTTTTAGACCACCACATATTTGCATTGCATTTATAATAAGTGAAATACTTTCGTGTGTTTTCTTCATGACAAATTCATGTGCAAGAGAAATAGAGGGTCTTTTCTTAAAATTGTGGAGCAGAACGGCTGTTCGATAAGGACTGTAGTTACCATGTGGGCCGGGTGTTAGATATTTAATTTGGTTCCGAAAGATCTCCTTGCCTTCTGATCTCACTTCCTAATTAGTTCGTGAGGTACCCCGGTGGCGATCTTGAAGGATGCTGTTTTGGTGATAAATAATGATAATTTTCACCATACATTTTTTTGCGGAACACACTTGTTTTTCCGAGCACAACTCTTGCTTGTCTGTCCTTTATATTTTTCTACCGGTTATGGCCCGGGAAAAATTGTATTATTCGACCAAGATTCCATTTTAATGAAGGAACATTATCCTCCTCAATAATCACTAATGCACCTTCCTTAAGAGGTGTTCCTGGAAACGTCCATTTTCCTTTCTGATGAAGAGTATGGAGGTACTCCCGATGTCACCTCTGCCAAAAAGTTGAATGCAACTGTAAAAGAAGCAGAAAACGTTCGAGTCTGCCCATTCTCAGATATGATGTATCAGGATCAGGAAGAGCGGTTAGGGATTCAAGCGTTAGGAAATGACCAGGCGTAAGAGCTCTCAGGTAGTTAGGGTCTGAGCTCATTGCGCACAAAGACCGAGAAATTCAATATCGATTCTTTTTGTACTAATACAGTGTTCATTTCTTCATAGCTTAATATTTGGTTACCAATGACGCCAGCCAAATGGGATTTGATTGATTTTATGCCTGCTTCGGCTAGACCGGCAAAATGAGAACCATAAGGTGGATGAAAAGTAAATTTTAATTTTTTTTCAGCGAAAGCCTCCTTCATTATAGTCAATAAATATTCATTAGTGCCGACAAAATTTGTTCCATTGTCAGATACTATTTCTGAACAACGACCACGTCTAGCAATAAAACGACGAAGCGCGCATAAAAATATATTTGTTGATAGATCTGAAACCAATTCAATATGAATAAGCTTTGTGGCAAAACAAACAAAAATACAAACGTAAGATTTTAGAATCTTAGATCCCCGAAAACGATACAAACAAATTTTGAAAGGCCCTCCAAGATCACATCCAACGATACTAAATGGCTTAATTTGAGTTATACGTTTGGTAGGTAAATTACCCATGATAGGTTGACATGGAATTGGATTTAAACGCCAACATTTCAAACATTTCGAGACGATACTACGAATAGCTTGTCAAGCCGATAAAATCCAAAAGTTCTGCGACAATAAGAAATACAGTGTCTGCGGTCCAGGATGAAAGTACTTATCATGAGTATCAATAATAATAAGTTCTGTAAGTTCACATGATTTGGGTAATAGGATAGGATGTTTCATATCATAGTTGAGCAAAGAATTTCTCAAACGTCCTCCTACTCTCAAAATATCATTTTCATCCAGAAATATACTTAACTTTCTGAAACTTTTGCATAATAACTCTTTATTTTTCAGTTTAAAAATTTCGTTAGAAAAATATTGAAACTGTACATGTTTAATGAGTAATAATAAAGCAGCTTGTCAATCCTTGCAACAAAATGCATGTATTTCCCTAGATGTGGGATGTAAGCAATTATAAATAAAGCGGGTAACGTATGCAATAATTTCTTTTATTTTATCAAGAGAAGAAGAATTTTTAAGAAGTGTATCAAAGAGGTTATCATCCACAGATGCTGATAATACGATCTTTCTAACTTCAGTATAAGCTTTTGAGTTCGGTTGAAGATCTTGAACTGAAGTGACAGGCCAATTTTCTTGATTAGCATGTAACCAAGTAGGACCTTTCCATCACTCCTGAAATTAAATGAATTCATCAAGATATAATCCTCAACTAGCACAATCGGAAATATTATTTTTAGACTGAACGTAATACCATGTAGCAATCGAAAGCCTATCTTTTATGACGGATACGCGATTCCCAACAAAAGGTTTCCATTTATTTGCTGAAGAGTTCAACCAATGCAAAACAACAGTATTATCAGAAAAAGTATATATATTTCCAATTGATATTTTCTCTCCATACGTTTTACCAACGAATTCCATGCATTTAGAGAGAAGAAGTGCGGCACACAACTCGATTCGAGGGATTGAAAGTTGTTTCAGGGGGGTTACTTTTGATTTAGCATTGACCAAAGATATTTTCACAAATTTATTTGGTATCAAGACCCTAGAATGCAAGCTGCATAAGCCTTGAGAACCATCACAAAACCCACACAAATCTATTTTCTGGAGAGGATTAGTGTATAAATATCGAGGTATTTGGATACAAGAAAGATTTGGAAGTTGTGCTTTGAATTTATTCCATTTCCTTTCAATTGGTTCAGGAAGAATTTCATCCCAACCCTCTTTAAGAACCCATAAACTTTGAATTAACAATTTGGCGGTTAAAGAAACAGGACACAAATATCCGAAAGGATCATAAATGTGAGCTAAGTCAAACAGTATATTTCGCTTTGTACATATTTCATTGATAGAATGTACTAAATATGAAAAGCAATCGTTTATAAGAGACCATTCCAGTCTTGAAATTTTCACCCCCGAATTGGGATTATCAATAAACATCAGAGAGTTTTGATTGACATGATCTGGGGGCAGGCAGGAAATCAATTCAGTATGATTTGAAGTCCATTTTCTCAGTTCGAAGCCTGCTGTTTGAAGTAAAGATATTAATTGCGTTTGTAATGTACGGGCTTCAGTTAAGTCATAACAAGACATGCATATATCGTCGACATAGGTACAATTCAAAAGAGCTTTAGAAGCGAGAGGAAACCTTTCTCGTTCCTGATTTGCTAAGTGAATGAGCGTGCGCATCGCTAGAAACGGTGAACAATTAAGCCCAAATGGGACTCTGTTCAAAGTATATTCTAACAACGGTTCATCAGGACTGAATCTCCAGAAAATTTTTAAATAATTTCGGTGTTCTGGTGTAACCAGAATCTGAGAAAACATGGACCTTATGTCGGCAGTCATAACTACAACTCCTAATCTGAAATTGAGCAGAAGTGCAGAAATATCCTGCTGAAGCTTAGGGCCAGTGAACAAAGTATCATTCAAAGAGATATTATTCGAATCTTTCGAAGAGGCATCATATACTACCCTTAATGTATCATTTTTGAAGATTGGATGATGTGGAAGGTAATATGAGGATAAGGTAATATCACTTCTTCGTGAAGTTAAACTCATGTAATCATTGTTTTAATAATTTTGCATGAATGCAGAGTATTCCCATGTACCTACCATCTACGGTGCGTGTTGTAGTCTCATAAAATAGCTCTTCGCAAGCATCTTCATCTTTTGAAAAAGTTGAAGTGACTTGTGTAACCTCTTCCAGATTCCAAAAACTTTTAATAGAATCATCTAAAATGCGGTCGGTGGTGAAAAAAGAATGAATTTTGAGAGAATAATCACGCTTTAATTCACCCATCAAAACATACTCAAATGATGTATTGATAGCTATAGGGAGATTACTGTCTGGAGAGAAAATTTTTTCATTCAATGAAATTCTCGAGAAAATATTAGCTTGAAGTAAAATTTCTATCGGGCCAGATTCGTTCAAAGTTTCGTCTGCTAAATTGACATTGTTTATATGCTTCCACTTCATAACCTCATTAAAATCGAGAACTGGTAAATCCTTATTGAAGGGTTTGATTTCACAGAATACTCCACCAGATTTAGACAATGTTTTCATTTCACCTAAACCATTGTGTGAAGCTGGGCATATCATTTGAACCATAGTTCAGTTCAAAACAAGATATTGTAATAAGATCCAAACGTTTGAGAAGCATCTGTGTGAGAACAAAATCCCATTGGGAAACAGGATATTTCAGAATTTTCAAAGCGGCTATGTTTTCCGTAAATGTATCAATGATTTTTCGTAATAATAACGAGTTTTCATTATGAAGGCGAGGGCAATTATCAACTTCATTCCAATGGGCAGCAGATAATAATCTTGTATTAGAATAGCGAGTAGTTAAAGCGTTATATGCAACAACATAATTGGAAGCATTAAGTGGATAGCACGTTATCAAATTTTTTGGGGGGCCCTCCAAACAAACATGAAGGTGTTAAAACTTTTCAATGTTCGACAGCTGATCATTGTTATGTATTAATGCATTATAAATATCTATAAAAGAGGTAAACAACTTAATATCACCTGAGTATTTTGAGAAATTCAACTCTGGCAATTTGACTCTTGGTATTGTGTCTTCACGTTTAGATTGATTAACAGCATTATCGCGTTCACCTTGCGGGTTTTGCGCAGTAATGCTAAGAAAGAGGAGAAAGAACAAAAAAAGAAAAAAAAGTTGAACCAGGCGGTAAAAAATGGAAAAATGTATGGTAGCTCGATAATTGAATATAGGAAATTTACTCAGAAGGCAATTTTCAAAATATCCGGCTCGAAGGACCAAAATTTATGTTCGATAAGGAATGTAGTTACCATGTGGGCCGGGTGTTAGATATTCAAAAGGAGAAGACAATCTGGAAAATTATTAATGGAAGACACCAACCTTAGTTTGGTTCTCGAAGATCTCCTTGCTTTCTGATTTCACTTCCTAATTAGTTCGTGGGGTACCCCGGTAGCGATCTTGAAGGATGCTATTTTGATGGTAGATAATAATTTTCACCATACATTTAGCGGAACACATTTCTTGCTTGTCTGTCCTTTATATTTTTCTACGGTTCCCGACCTCCGCGCGTGAGTATAAGCAATAATAATAATAATAATCATACCTGAACCCACATGCAGTAACAGGTGAATATCGAACAACGGCTTTCAAACTTGTTTTAGATGAATCTATAAATAAACGTAATTCATCCGGATTGTATGCAAATCCTAATTTTTTCATCATATTATTTGGATTTACACAACACAAATTTTATCCTGCACAGTAAAAAACGAGGATAGCTCATTGTTACGGTTCCTAAATATTGTAACTTTGGTTTTAGGGGCCTGTAAATTCTATTGTTGTTATCTACACCCTAATAGTTCAGCATTCTCTTTGGACAAGTGGAGGTCCCGAATTAGGTCATTTGAATCATTTGAATTTGTTCGAATAAATGGGGTGTTCTTCCTTCATTCTCAGGAGAATATGGACCGTCTTTTTCTGGCACATTATGGGAACCTGCCTGGTCACCATACATTTACGAATCTTTCTCCCAAATTTCCGGGGGTGTTGGAGCTGGTAAACCTTCTCCATGAAGAACCGGTTTTCTTGCAGAAGGAATATCCGGATATACAATTTTGTGTTTGCCTTTTCTTGAGAAAATAGACACGTTTGTCATACAAAAGTAATAATCGTTGTAATGATTTGTTGTTTCTCGCCAAATCATTGGAACTGCAAAAGGCATAGAAGAGCGTTTGCCATTTAACCAGTTACTTAGATTTGCTGCACAACTTTGACAGCATACGTGAGGAGCCCAATCCCGATGTTGATCACCAACAACATATCCAAAATACTTTTGGTAAGCTACTTTGATCATTTGATTAATTGGCCGTTTCTGCGGTTTACGAGTAAACTGACCACATATTATATAGCAAAAACTATCTGCAGGATTAACGCAGTCACGTTTCTGTACTTTGGACATTTTTGTACTATTGCGTACGTCGAGTTCAAATATGTGATACTACATTTACAGGAGTCAACATATTTTATCCACAAAGATAACACTACTATAATACTCTGGATATTCGCGTGTTTGCTCACCTCGCTTCTCTAATACTAACTCATCACTACTCGCGTTGAATCAATATTGATAACCCAATTGTCAACCTGCTACTTTTATAGCGGTTCCGTATTTCTGGTATTTTCCGGAAACTTCGAGTACCGGAAGTTCGGGAAGCTGCGTTACAAGTCTCATATACAACGGAAGCAGATTCGAATACTGGAAAGAGCCGCTATGTTGCCAGACTTTGAACAATTTCCTTAATTTAGGGGAGAAGCAAATTTGGAATATCGTGTCCATTACATTTTTGTGAAAATAATAATAACTCAAAAATCTTACGTGTTAGGAAATTTTTACTCTCATTTCGCATCCTGCTTTGACAGGATGTTTATTGATGGTCCGAATGTTTTGTTGTCTCAATAGTATTAAGATTTTTATCGATGACACATTTGATGTCAGATAGTATTAGAGTCTTTTTTAACAACAACAACACAAATTAAAGATGATATACAAAATACAGGTATTATCTTGTGAATACTTTGTCCATGGTATTGGCGCACAACGTCTTAGTCTTCATAAATGTTTACATACATGATAGAATTGGGACCTTTGAAGTAGAGTAGATTCAGCACAAACGTTGATCCCACACAAAAGAACTACATTTTACCAACCAAATTGACGTCACCGATAGATAAAATATACTTTTGGTATAGTAAAATGTAGACTTCACCAACGAAGTTAGCATGATGGAGATGAGATCAACATACATGTTCACCTTTGTATTCGTGCCCTTTCATGAATATTCAATTCGATGTAATCGTCTATCCTAAACCTACTTGGAGATATATTATTGTTATTGATTTCATTCCACATTATCAAACTGTAATAGTATTCCATTATACTCGAGCTTCATGGAATGACGAATTTCTCTTTCACTGCGTTACTTGGAACTTCAAAACGGATTAACCAGTTTGTCATATTCTGGAAAGCATACACGCCCTTCCTTTTGTAACCTCGACAAGCAAATTAGTACTGGAACACTAAACCAATCATGAGAAGTTTGCTTCTCACTAATAATATTGATATAAAAAACATAAATGACTTATAGGTACGCACGAGACTTATTTTTGATTTCGCGAATACTGCAACAAAAAATATCGATGTTAGTAGAGAGCTTGTTCGCATTACGACACATCAGATTGATTGGTGATTTCAATTGATTTAGTTTGTGCCCTTTTGCATAAAAAAGTATTGATGTGCCTAGAAGATATTCTTGGAACGAAGATATCAATTTCTGATCATAGTACAGTACAATCCAATCTGCCACTCAATATCTTATATAGAAATAAAACAGGTGACTGATTTCTTCTTTTTTCTAAGGCTACAAAGTCAAATCTGCATAGCAGATCAGAATAATCACAGTTTCTTGGAGGATAAGTTCTGGTCATTCTAAAAGTAAGAAATTTTAAAAATTCCTTTTGGACTCTATCAATTGTTCATGTGTATTGATGGTGTATGGGATTCCATTTAATGGACCCATATTCTAGTTTTGGCTTCACCAGACTGAAATACGAAATACGAATGATTTAGAGAAGTCCGTGTACACCACACCTACTTGCCCTCTACGGTCTAACGATTCACATAGATATTGATCAAAAACAGCTAAATTACTGATGTTGGATGTAGAGTTCACAAAACCATGTTGGTGATCAGATATTATATGTCGAGAGGATTGATAGATACGACCATACAGAATTGCTTCTAGAAGCTTGGCAAAGTTGTTTAGGATTGAAATAGGTCCATAATTATTGATTTCATTTCGATCTTGAGCTTTATGTATTGGACAAACCTTGGCAGTTTTCCAAAGTTCAGGAAAAACTGACGTTCTCAAGATAAGATTGAAAAGAATTTGTAGGGGATAAACTAGTACTCTCAGACAGTTTTTCAATAGAAATTATGGAATTTTGTCTGGACCTGAGGTCATCTTATTTTTTAATTTTCTTTCAGCTTCTAATATTTCTAACTATGTTATTGGTTCCACACTAAAATCTATTGAGCTATTAGGTTCGAAGTTGAAAACAACGTTTTCTTCATCAGCTTCAGGGTATAAATAGGCATTTTGAAAAAATCTACTAAAAGCATTACCAATGGGTTGTTATAGGATTCACCCTCATAAACCATCTGGCCTAGAATTCTTGTACTATTATTTTTATTATGAACAAAT